TTATTGCTGGGTGGGAGCAGGGTGAGCTGAGCCACAGGTGGGAGAAGGAAGCAGGATGGGATAGGTCAATTCTAGGAGGGGGGAGCAGGGTGAGCTGAGTCACTGTTGGCAGCAGGAGGAATAGAGTGAGCTGGCAGGGTAAATAGAGTGAGCTGACTAACTGCTGGGAGGGAGTAGGGTGAGCTGAGTCACTGGGAGAAGGAGCAGGATGAGTAAAGTCATTTCTAGCAGGGTTAGCTGAGTCACTGCTGAAAGGTGGGAGCAGGGGGAGCTAGGTTGCAGAGAGTATGAATAAACAACATTTTCTTTTCAAATGCAGCTAACGCAACCTGAATCTGTCCTAATATTAGCCTCCTGTCATCCCTTGCACAGTAGCACTCATAATAGGAGAGGAAGGGGAGCGCTTAGAGCCTGACACCTGATATATACATGATTGTAGTGGGTCATTGATTTACTAAGTAGTGAAGCAATGGCAGCTCTCACATTTTTCTTGACAGATTCCCTTTATGGTGAGGGATACTTGGCAGGTGGTCATCGTGAGTGGCAGCTGTAGTAACCTTGTTTAGAGCATTCTGCTGTGCTCACATTTGGCAGTATGCAAAACACAGTCGATACAACTCCGCCACCCAATTTCCTCTTTTACTAACAAACTAACATAGGCTTTTGTGTAAAGGCATTCAGCCCAAGGAAAGACTGAGAAGATGTCACCTCATGGCATGTATTAGTGTAATCTTCAAAGAATCTGCTGTCAATTTTTTCCATTTTGTATGTCTTCTTTATGATAATCCCTGAATTCCCCATTGTGATACATCTTCTCTCATTAAAAAGAGACTGTTGACAGAGAATTAACTCTCTGACCATCTTTATACAGTATTCAGTGATATGTTTCCAGTATAATTGGGCATATCAAATAAAATAACCAGCACAGCTTAAGGGACACAATAGTTTTTAATGGTCCCTTGTGATACAGAGCTTTTGTTTTTTTCTTAAAACAAATTCATGTTCATTAAAGCTGAGTACCGGAATATACTGAATGACCAGGTTTTTCCATCAATGGATTTTTTCTTCCCTGATGGCACATTGGGCATATTCCAACAGGACAATGCCAGGATTCATCACATTGTAAAAGATTGGTTCAGGTAGCATGAGACATAATTTTCACACATGGATTGGCCACTACAGAGACCAGACCTTAACCCCATTGAGAATCTTTGGTATGTGCTGGAGAAGACTTAACACAGAGGTCCAACTCTCCCATCATCACTACAAGATCTTGGTGAAAAATTAATGCCACTCTGGATGGAAAACTTTTTTTGTGACATTGCATAAGTTTATGGAAACGATGCCACGGCACATGCATGCCATAATAAAGCTAAAGGAAGCCCAACAAATTATTAGAGTATGTGAGGTTTTTGTTTGGCCAGCTAGTGTATAAAAAGCTAGGAAAATTGCAGTTTTGTATACTGTATATAAAAAAAATATTATTTTCAAATGCAGCTCACGTAAGTACCTAAATCTGTCTTAATATTAGCCTCCTGTCACCCCTTGCACAGGGAGGGGAACACTAGGAGCAAATCAGCCTCAGCTGCAGTGCACATGTGATGACATTAAATATTCTGACATGAGGAGAAAGCAGAGTGATGACGGTTCATCAGTGCGATCTTGCTTTGCATTGTCCAATCAACAGGCTGTTGTGTGAATGTGCCCTTAATGTTATGGGTAGCCTCACTTGACTGGTAAGGAGACCTTAGAAAAGAGTTTTTGGGGGCAATGGTCAGCATCTGCAATCAAAGTCTACATTTGCATACTTTCTCAGATGAGAGAGAGGGACACCTTTCAGCACAATGTATTCACGGAATGGACACAACCCTGCCACATCCCTAGTTATGCAAGCCATTAGGAATTTATGTGCCAAAAATGATTGGCTAAACCCAGAATTGTTTTATTTTTTCACCATTACTTTTCTTTTATACCGGCTTTTCAAAATAGCAAATAAGCTATGTAATAAGATGAATATAATTAAAAGGTAAAATTAAGGTTTTAGTGCAATATAACATTTTTGGTACAATGCCCTAGATAATGTACATCAGACCAAATAGAGGGACAACTGAGGAGGAAAGAGGGACAGAGGGATTTGGTTTCAAATGAGGGACAGGTGGGAGCGATGCACATAATAGCTGCCTGTATTTTTAGATCTACCGTATTTTGCGGTCTATAAGACGCTCCGGACGATAGGACACATGGCTTCTGTGACAGAAATTCTATGACAGAAATTCTGTCACATAAGCTGCAGTTAGTGACTGCTGAGACAGGTGGCGCTGTCTCAGTAATCACACAGAGCCGACAAAGAACGTCGTTCTTCGTCTGCTCAACGGGCTCTATGGTGAGCTCCTATGGGGGATCGTGACGGGTCACGGTCCCCCAGAGGAACGGGGGACCCAGAAAACCTCGGTGGGGGGTGGACACGAATGCCGATGCCGCTCGATTTAATACAAGGGATCTACTTAGATCGCTTGTATTAAACGAACAGCGGCTCCCACTGTACATTCAGCTCTGCTTGTCAGGAGCAGGGCTGAATGTACAAAAAGAAACTAATCGCCCGGCGCCCGAAACTGCATGTCCCGGGCGTCGGGTTATAGGTATTCGCTCCATAAGACGCAGGCACATTTTCCCTCTCCTTTTGGGGGAAAAAAAGTGCGTCTTATGGAGCGAAAAATACGGTACTTATTTATTTATTACAGGTATTTATATATCATTCAAATATGTGAAGCGGCGCTATCACCCAACAAGTAAACAAATAATATGTGCAAAAACCAAATATTATAGTGAACAATACTACTGTGAGAGGAAAAAGAAACAAAATATATATCATATTTTTCAAATATTTTCAAAATTAAATCTTCTAGTCAACTGTTTGTGTGAATCACAAGGTGATAATCTAAAAAAACTCCAAATGACTAATAAAGTAGCAAACGTCCTGTGTCAGTGTATAAAACACATAATTTGAAACAAAGTGTTCATAAATTCATTAAAAGCAGGCAGCTCTCAAAAAAAAAGAAGAAAAAAAAAGTGTTGTGCGTCACTCTGCCCACTCTTGTAATTTCTTGTGTATTTTTTGCTGAAGTGCCCCTAAAAAACACCAGTGATAAGCCTCTCACCTCTGTGTTCAGACCCTTGGGTCTCAAAGCCCTTCTTATAGGGTAAAACTCCTTCCTCACACTGTTTGTAGCTGTGATATTCCTTCCTTCAGATGAGACCAATCCTGATCTTAACGGATTTCTCCTCTGCCGACATTATACACTATAGCGCCGACAATTTATGCAGCGCTTTACATAGTTGCACATTCACATCAGTCCCTACTCTCAAGGAGCTTACAATCTAAGGTCCCTATCTCACATGCATACATAGAGGACCAACTTAGAGAAGAGCCAATTAATCTACCAGCATGTCTTTGGAGTGTGGGAGGAAACTGGGGTACCCAGAGGAAACCCACGCAAGCACAGGGAGGACATGCAAACTCCTTGCAGATAGTGAGGTGACTGGGATTTGAGCCGAGGAACCCCAGTGCTGCAAGGCAGAAGGGCTAACCACTATGCCACTGTGCTGCCCACTTATTCTCTTCTTTGAAGATCACCACTGTCACCATTACCATCATATGATGTGTTTGAATTGCCCAATTTTGTGAACGGTTTACTTTAAGCAACATTTTTTGCTCTTCTCTCCAGTGAAGAGAGAGGTTTGAAAAGGTGCACTTTGCTGTCTCTAACTAATTAGATATTTACTGTCTTGCTAGAGGAGCTTGTTGACTGTTTGACCTTGGGAAAAAAACCTTTCATTATGAGTTTTGGCTGTGTTTTTTTCATTTCTCGCCCCAGAAATTGTTTAGATTCAATATCAGAATGACTAACTCTTCTTACATAGTGCCCTTAGATATACTGAACATGTCAAGTGGAATGCATGCACTTTCTAGAGTAAGAAGATAAACACTTACAGCTCTACAGGCATTACGCAGCCCTTTAGAAGTGTGCTTTCCCCAGATATATATCAACAGGTTCATCCTGAAGGTGATAAAGTCCAAACCACTTGAAAGTTTCAGCAAATCTATATGGAGTATGAAGGCTGCTATTACATGCTTCCAGGTGGGTTTAGGAATTGGCTCCAAACACACTTGAATGTACATAATTTGATTCCTGTGGGCAAGGGGCATAAGAATGCTGACCTCACTCTGGCCATCCAGACCTCAACTTCTATGGTCAGTGACTCAAAAAATATTGAAGTCATGGACAGCCTTTTCTGAAGGAGGTCATCAGTGGAACGCTCCATATTTCTCACAGTACAGGTTTCCTATAAGTCTTGAAAAAAACAGACACAGAAAAGATGTCTGCGGCTCCTGTTTTTCTTCCAGACATAGCCGTAATGCCAGTGGACCATCTTCATAATTCCAAAGTCATACTGTTTGCACATGTGAGGTCTCAGTGTGTCCAGAGTCTAGCTTTCAAAGGAAACATAGAGTTAAAACCTACACTGTTATTGCTAACCTCACCTTCTGAAAATGTTAGTTGCCAGGCTGCCATGCTGGTCTTTGCCTAGTACTTTTTGAGTCACTGACATGGAATGAGTATGCAGACCAGGAGTTCTGACTCCAGCCCTATGTATGCAAAGTCTAGAACATAATTACCTGCACTTTCATACATAAGGCTGAACAGTGGAGAATTTTTAAAACAGAAGGCAAAACAGAATGTCACATTCAACCACATATCCCAAAAGTAAGAGGATTTTTCTGTTCTTTTTTAGGACGGTAGGTGGAGCCATGCAAGTCATTCCTTTACAACCCAAGAGCCAAATGCATATTCAAAACCTCTGGTGGCATAGTGCAAATTTAGCCTAATATTCTAAAGCCATTTATTCCAAACTCCATACAGCTGTTTCAAGATATTAGGCCATCATCGGTGCAGTGTACCATTCTGTTTTCTCATTCTTCAACTTATCTTTCTCTACAGGAATTTTGGAAGATGGAAAGTCCACCCAAACGTGTGTTACGGTTTCATCTACTAGCAAAGAAGGGCTTAAAAAAACTAGTTCAGGAACGCAATGTGGAAAACCGACCGTCTACTCCACAGGAACAAAGTCTCAGAAACAGAAGAGTGTCTGCAGGACTACAGAGGTACCGCTGCTCAGCCTACCAGTTCTCTTATTATCACTCCAGTGTTTGAAGTCTACAATGTTCCTTTCATACACAAACTGTGCAGGTAGCTTTAAAGGGGTTCTAAACCCTCCCCGTTTGTTTGCCTATATCTACTGCTATCAAGCAATAGATATAGGCAAACAGTTTTTTTTTAAAACAACCTGCTTTAAACATTTTTTATCCTTTAATGACACTTTAAAGCCAAGCATTGGAAAAAAATAAAATGTCCAGCCCTGCCCACTTGCTTGTTCCAGCCATTATATAGGGGGATTATATTTAGTTTACATTCTGAATGCAGCAAGTAGATTTAAGTTGGCCATACACCAGTAGACTTTCATTCGAAAAGAACAATTGTTTTCAGAACGTTCCTTAAAAAAAGGTTTTTGACTACAGTATACATACATTTTAAAGCTAAATTTAAGATTTTTTAAAGTCTAAGCCCTTATCTGAAATCAGGAATGCTGAGACTTGTTCTTAGGGAAAGCACTGCTGTATATTCTGAAACTATCTAATGGGCATTCATGGTAACAGTTCCCCTTACAACCAAGATCCTGCAGCTCTAATTTAAGAGCCCGAATGGGATTTCCCACGAAAGTTGTAAATCCCTTTTATCGGTATATACACTATAACTCTTACATGGAGAACCTCTCCATGCACCAGTGCACCAGTATTGGGAAGAAAAAAAATCACATGCTTTTCTTTGAATAAATCCTTTAACTTTGATCTGTTCCATAAAGAAAGTGAAAATTAGCCCTTCATTCTCTGCATCAGACTTTATGTACTCAGTTCAGCCAAAACATACATTCCCCGAATATGGCAATTAATGAACATTTTGAAAGCCTGTTCCTTGACACATTTCACCCTAATTAATTAGGAAACGTGCACTTTTCCATGAAATTATCTCCAGGTTCAGTGTTTCATACTTAATTTCACGCTCTGCCAACCAAAGGGTGACAGACGCTAAATTGGTATGAGACACGTATCTGGAACTGGTCTCTATATTGCAGCATGTGAGAAAAATATGGAAAATTGTGCTTTTATGATAATGTCTATTTAATGAGCTTGTATGATTTTATAACCAAGCAGAGCCTGCATCCGGTCCAGTATGTGTCAAGTTCTGCATTTCCACTGAAATTAACATAATTATATTGGTTATAGTAATTTTCTTCAAACACAGTCCATTAGCAGTAAGATAACCTATTTTAGTCGCCAAAGCTCTTATCCAAAGTCATGAGCTTTGAAGTTACAATTAACTAGGTATTGTGCTCTTAGACATGATAAAGCAGCTAGAAATTCTGTCTACTCAATTATTGATCATTCCAACATGCATGGCATATCACCCAAGTATTCATGTTTTTGTCAGAGCAATAATGGTTAGCTTAAATAAACATCCTAAATGATTGTTTCTTCCCCTGAGTCCTGCTGACTGCTTGCCATAATGTGAGTGGTGGGTTGCTCTGTTGGCACTACTCTGATCAACAAAAGTCAGTTTTTCAATTAACTTTTGTCAAAGGAGCCAGGCCGAAAACTGGCAACCGAACAGTGACTGCAGCTGATTGAGGTACTCTGACAGCTGCAGGCATTGGTTGTTAGAATAAAATAGCACAGCAGGGGAGATTAAGCTTTAATCAGCAAGGGGGTGTCTGCAGAGGTCACAGAATGCCCAGAGACATACAATAACTCCTTTATCAAAGCAATGATCTTCTCATGTCTATGATCATCTCTTATCTAAGGTATAGCAATGATCTTCTCATGTCCATGATCCTCTCATATCTATGCTATGGCATTGATCTTCTCATGTCTACGATCATCTCTTATCTATGGTATGACAATGATCATCTCATGTCTATGATCATCTCTTATCTAAGGTATAGCAATGATCTTCTCATGTCTACGATCATCTCTTATCTATGATATGGCAATGATCTTCTCATATCTATGATCATCTCTTATCTAAGGTATAGCAATGATCTTCTCATGTCTACGATCATCTCTTATCTATGATATGGCAATGATCTTCTCATATCTATGATCATCTCTTATCTAAGGTATAGCAATGATCTTCTCATGTCTACGATCATCTCTTATCTATGATATGGCAATGATCTTCTCATATCTATGATCATCTCTTATCTAAGGTATAGCAATGATCTTCTCATGTCTACGATCATCTCTTATCTATGATATGGCAATGATCTTCTCATATCTATGATCATCTCTTATCTATGATATGGCAATGATCTTCTCATATCTATGATCATCTCTTATCTATGGTATGGCAATTATCCTCTCATGTCTATGATCATTTCTTATCTATGATATGGCAATGATCTTCTCATGTCTATGATCATCTCATATCTATGATATGGCAATGATCTTCCCATGTCTATGATCATCTCTTATCTATGATATGGCAATGATCTTCTCATGTCTATGATCATCTCATATCGGTGGTATGGCAATGATCTTCTCATGTCTATGATCATCTCATATCTATGGTATGGCAATGATCATCTCATGTCTATGGTCATCTCTTATCTATGTTATGGCAATGATCTTCTCATGTCTATGATCATATCATATCTATGATATGGCAATGATCTTCTCATGTCTATGATCATCTCATATCTATGATATGGCAATGATCTTCTCATGTGTATGATCATCTCATATCTATAATGTGGCAATTTTCTGTGTGTGAAAATATTCTAGAAACAGCTACTAGGCATTGGGAAGAACATGCTGACTGCAGGCCACAATTATCTGCTTTTGTGGGCTCCAATGGCACATTTTGGGACAGCATTGACTTCATTGGATATTAGTTATTTTATTATGTTGGTGAATGTACAGAAAAGACTCAACAGGCAGCAATCATGCTGTACAGAAATCCATGTAGATGCTAAAGACTTGAAAATAAGACCAATAAATGCTCACCAAGTACTGGGCTTCAAATAAGATGAGGAGGTGTGTTCAAGAGCACCCCAATTCGTCTCCATTTCTTTTCTTTTCTATTCACCTATTCACCTACAGAGATTCATGTAGTTTCACTAAAGCAAATCTGTGGGCATTTTTATTTCAAAATGAATAGTAGGCAGCTTCAAGTGTCAGCATGCAGCATCTTCCCTTGATATATTGGCCCTGACACCCTGAATATCCAAGAACCAACCAGCATTTCAGTCTACTGGCTCTGACTCTACCCTTCTGTCTCATGCATCTATTTATTGGCCCAACACTGTGAAAGGCAATCCTACTATCAGTAAGAGAAATGTTGGGAGGGGCTAGGTTTTGGAAATTCAGTGCTTTAGCATATTTTTAAAAATAATCACTAGAGGTAAACATAAAGCCCAATTTCAACTCAAATGTTTTTTTTAATGCAGTGGAAAATATTTGGAACTTATTTCAGGTTTTTTACTCCATCAGGGGCCCTTCTGATCTTTTTTTGTGTGTCCGGACATTACCCAAAGACTTCAGTAAGAACATGACAATTCTAGTCACAGTTAATAGTTTTGAGAACTCAGTATGCATATATACTGTGTATATGTGCACACTGTATACAGTATATGTATAATCAGTTTATCAAAATAATCCATACATGCCTATGGAATCACTACTGAATTGGAGAAGCATTAGGGATTATTCAACACAGCAAATGTGAGTTTGTATACATGCTAGATACAAACAAACTAGAAATTCTTTGCTGGTGCCGAATTTGAACATTTTGCCTGTATTTAGGCAGTAAACATCATAGGACAATCCATTGTGAGCTTAATTACTAGCTTTCTAAACGCATAAACAGAAGATTAAAATGTCAGTGTAGCTAAAATTGCTGTTTCAGTTCTTGTTAGGTGGTGGAAAATGAAAACAAGCCTTGCATGAAAATGTCCAGTCCCCTTACCTTGCAGCCCCCACGCCTTAATGGAAGATAAGCTTACATAAAAGCTAGTACTGTACAAGAGTGCATTTTTCTGGGATTTAATGCCCAGCTTTTCAAGGATCCCACCTAGTGATGTCACTCTAATCAACGTGAGCGTGCTCCAAGCCGATTGTAAGTTATGTTTTATTTTTTTCTTATGTTTTTTATTATTGCTTTCAGCTGTAGATTTTATAGATGGCAGAAAGGTGCAAGGTAAGGGGACTGTACATTTTCATGCAAGGCCCATACCAATTTCTCAGGGATGGTTAGAACTCCACAATTAAGTTACCAGGTCTGCACAGCTGCTGTGGTAAAATGAGTGGATTCCACTCTTCCTGATGGAGATTTAGTGTATTTAAGGGTCCATTCACACCATGTCCGAATCATCTCCAGACCAGACCAGATTGTTTCCGGACCCAAAATGCATCCTAATGTATCCCTATGCTATTTCTGGCCTCTGTTCACACCAGCGCAGTACATTCCAGACCAGACCAGAAAAATACTACACGTCTCATTTTGTCTGGCCTGGAATGCCCTAGAACACATAAAAACACATCAAAAACGCATACATATGCACTGGAAATCATTTTGGGGGGGGGGGCAAAACCGCAGTAAAAACACGGCAAAATGCAATGTACTGCGTTCCACATCTGGTCCAGATCTGGTCCGGAAAATGGTGTGAACCTAGTATGTAGAATGGAGCAGAAGTGGTGTAGATACCCCTTCCATGTTGCAATGAGATTCCAATTAGGTCAATAAAAAAACAGGATTCATGGAAGGGAGATCTTGCTGGAGTCTCAGAGAGACAAGTGGATGATTCAGTCCACTAGGTTTCCACATATAAGCTAAACCGTTGAGGTTGATTGACCCTTTAAAATCTCATTACTGCATATTATATTTTTTATTTAATACCTCTGAACATGCTAGCTGAACTTCAGGCTATAAAAGACATATTGCAGCTCTGTATTTATTAATAAATCATTCAATGTATTCTGGTCGCCAATCCACAGAAACGATGTCCTTGAACTAGAAAGAGTTCTGAAAAGGGCAACTACATTAATTAGGGTTTGGAGGACCTCAGTTATGAGAAACAATTACAAAGATTTAATTTTATTACCTAATTAGGATCACAATGTATACATGTATCAAAGGTTTCTATATAAACTGTACTAACCTTTTCAGGTACCTGAAGAAGATACATGGTGACTATTTAAGTTTGGGTGAAAATGTTTAACTAAGAAACAAGTTCTTTACTGCTAGAGCAGTTAAAATGTGGAAGTGGTATTAGCTGTGTTGATAAATGTTCCAGTCCAGTCAATGATACCTTTCTCAGTCAGTATATGGGAATTCTTAAAGTCAATGGCAGATTGGTCCAGGCATTTATCCGATCGCCAGTATGGGATCAGGAAGGATTTTTTTTTAACCCTCTTACAGAAAATTGGCCTATGCTTTTTCGGGGGTTTTTGCCTTCCTCTGGATCAGACACATAAACTCACACACAGAGGTTCAATTTGATGGACCTGTGTCTTTCAACCATGTCTACTATGTAAATATGTAATTTTTTAAAATGAAAATAATGTAAGTACCTGAATTTGACTCGGTATCAGAATAATTTATTCTGCTGTAAAGTAACACTCGCAACGGAAGAGGAAAGGGGAGCACTAGATGCCAATCAAGTGTGCTCATGCAGATTATCTGACAAGGAACAAGCTGATAGAAGAAAGCTTATGAGCAGAGAGATGACCTCATTTGTCTTCTGCTGTCCCTTCAATGGCTAGTCAACTGTCTGGGGGCGGGGGAGTCTCAGCAGTATATTCTCTAATTGTAAGATAGAAAGTGGTGTCAACCTTATTTACTGTGCCATGTGGCAAAACTAAGAATTGGCAGATATAGGACAGCTTCCATATAGCTATGTATTTCATCTGTGTGTTTAGTTGTTTGCCTTGATTTCAATTTTACATAATAAACCCTCCATCCTGTATCATTTCTGCACTATACCCACAGTCCAAGTTTCTTCTTATACACCTGCCCATCATAAACTACCAGTTGAAGTCATTGCTCCCATACTGCAATGCCAGAATTCTAGCCACTAAGCCAACATTCTGCCTGTGTTCTGCAGTCTATTATGCATGTAATGCATGTATTATCTCCAGTCTGGCTGATTATAAAACCATGTTATTCTTTTCTGCAGGCCAAAAGGGACAGCAAACGAATCCCTAAGAAAGAAGTGACAATCAACTTATCAAAAAACATAAGGCAGATGGATGCCGACGGGCGCATTACAGAGAACTGCGTCAATTAGTGCCGATCAGAGGAACCCCAGAGGGACACTTTAGGAATCGTTTGAGCACTTTCTTTGAAGGGCTGAAAGCCATTGGGAGAAGAGATTCTGCAAAGAATTAACACATTATTTTACAGAAGTGTTTTGGGCTCTTCTGCAAGCATATTTACTGCTGCTAAGACAGGAAAATAGGCCTTGAAGCAAAAGCCTTCATTGGCAATGAGAAGATGGGAGTATGACAGGATATGTCTACAATCATAGACAACCTGTGGCACGCTGCATATTAATAGGCTATTATAGATCTTTCTAGTGTAGAGCATCCTTCAGTGAGCGAAGGATGATACTCAGAATTATGCTATCAATATGAAAAACATAAAGCATCTGAGACTTCTTCCTTTAATAAATCTTATTTATATATTCTGCTTTACCGTGTCTTATAACACTTGCCTGATAACCAAAAGAGTGGTGCAAGTCGTTTTATGTTTTTACTATATTTATTTTTGATTTTGTTGCCTTTTTGGTTTCAAGGGTTGAAAAGGAGAGCTTTGTGTTGTGATTTTACTACTCCTGTAAGTGGCTGTGTGTTTTTCAATGGCTTGGATTCTGCATGCAATAAGTGGCAACCTTGAATCGCTAGATGCTAAGCCAAATGTTTCTGCATACAGGAAACTCATCGTAACACCTCCTATCTGCAACTCTCAAACCGTCATGTGCTTATAAGAGTTCTAAGTCTAAGAGAAGGTTGGGGGAAGGGTAATGCAGAAGTCACTTCAAGATGGACCTGTCTAGACATGTTGCCTTTGCATTAACGATGAAAGTCAACATCAGTAGTTCACAAGTCGAGTCTATAGGGACCAATAATATAAGTAATCATATTTCCATTTTCCCCATGGTGATTTAAGAAGAGAATTTATTATCTACAAAGTCACATTATAGTGATATGCCCTCACAGGCCACTTTTATTGTTCTACCCCTGTACCTATCCTTACTGACTGCGGTATATTATTTACCTATAAATATTTATTCCCTTTTTTACATTGCCTAAAGTACAGCTCCACCTTTAATGAAACCACCCAATTAAGCTAAACTCCCCCCCCCGCTCACCTAAGCTAACTTTTTAGCACAATTTACCCTCCACCCCATCTGTTTACTTGCCTTTTCTGATGAAATTCTCTTTATTACTGGCTACACATGCACAGATCTTCGGTATACTCCCCCACAAATCTGTCCCTTAAGCTGGCCTTAGATCAAACCAACCAACAGTACTTTTTGACTTTGGGCAATCTAATCTTCAACAAATTTGGACATCCATGGTGATGCCTAAATTTGACCTTAATGAAATTCCAGCTGCTAGCTCCATTCGGGCCGGCCACTGTCAGAATACAATGCAAGCAGCAGGGGATTCGTCCATCAATGCTCACAAGCGTTGATGGAGGAATCTGTTATATTTGCCTTATTCAGCCCGCAGGTGGAACAAAGAAAATATAAGCGTGTATACCCTAGAAAGACAAAAAAAGTGATTGTACAACAAACACATAATTGCACCAATGTCGCCATCAAACACATGGATCTTCTTTCCTTGCTGTTTGATATCCAGGTAGATATCTCTGTACTTTAAATACTGGGTTTAGCCCATGTACTCGTCAATTGTCTATACCTTATAGGTACACCTATAGGCTGGGTGCATGGTGGGGATGACCAGACATGGCTCAATATTGGCAACAGTCAAGTATTTGAAGGGCTCGTTATCATACACAATCATTTTTCAACATTCTAATAAATCTTTGTGGTTGCCCAGCAGTGATTCCTCTTGGATGGTCCTCTTTCATCCAAGTCTTGCATCTGCAGGTTAACTACATCCAATATATAAGCTGTGGTTGATCCTGGAGATGCATGATCTAGATAAACCTTTCTCAACCAGGTTTCTGATGTGAAGGGGGCTCCTGATGTGAAGGGAAAACTCTGATGAGAAAGGCAGGGACTCTGATATGAATTGAAGATTCTGATGGGAAAGGGGGGCTTCTGATTTGAAGGGGGACTTCTGATGTGATGAGTATTTGCGATGTGAAGGGGGTGGGGGCTTCTAATGTGAAGAAGGCTCTTGATGTGAAAGTGGGGAGGGGGGGGGGCTTCTAATGTGAAGAAGGCTCTTGATGTGAAAGTGGGGAGGGGGGGGGGCTTCTAATGTGAAGAAGGCTCTTGATGTGAAAGTGGGGAGGGGGGGGGGCTTCTGATGTAAGGGGGGGGATTCTGATGTGAAGGGGCCTCCTGAAGTGAAGTGAAAACTCTGATGTGAAAGGGAAGGACTCTGATATGAAAGGGGTCTCTGATGTGAGGAGGATCCAGATTTGAAGGAGGGATTCTGGTGTAAAGGGGGAACCACTGTTTTGTGTGGAATCCTCCCTTCAAATCCATACCAGGCCCATATCTGGGATAATGGTCTTAAAGGGATTTTAGAGCGGTCACAAGTCAGTTTTTACACGTTTAAATTATGATTTTTACATTTTAGGGGCGGTGCCTCAAGATTTTTCATAATTTTAAAGGGTACTGTGACTGAAAAAAGGTTGAGACTACACTAATCCAGAGAAACCTGGGCAGGGTACCCCCTGACTGTGCAAGTGTACATTGGTGTTTTGCTATAACTCTTTAACACTGTGATTTCAGCTGTACAGCTTAAGCAGTGTGCAAGTTACTGAACAAGCTGATGCAATTCTACAGGACATTGTCTTTTACTGCAAACAGAAGGAACAGTTCTTGTATGGTTCAATGAGTCCTTCAAACAGCATCAGATCAGCAAGTGTATAGCTAGAAACCCACGTATTTTAGCCTTTAACAGAAAAAATATAAGGTACAATTAAAACAAGGACAGGTTTTTGCTCCCTAATATTTTGCTAAGGGCCATGGCACACTTATGATACTTTTTAGCTGCCCTGTTGCTGGTGGGTTATAACCAGTGACAGGATTGCTCAAAAGAGCAGAGGAAATTCTTGCATCATTAGTGTCACTCCTAGCTGACAGAAACGTTGCCAAATGTCACTGCCCATCAACTTATTAAAATCTTGCTCATCTGGCTAGGAACCAATACCATAGAACAGGGTCATCCCTATAATGTGGCAGCCGGAGGCAGTTGCCTCAGCCAGCATCTCAATGGGTCAAGTGGGCCAGAGCGTCCCAGGTTGCTAAGAGTTCTTAGCAACCTGTGACATTCTAACTGGTGTCACTGGTTGCCAGGAGCTGAGCAGGACACTCTGGCTGGCATCCTGCCCAGATCCTGGCAACTAGTGACGTCAGTGAACTTGGCAGGACCATGCAACCCCCGGCCTCAGACAGCAAAAAGTGCAGGGACAACTTCCATGCAAGCAGGTGAGTATTTCTCTCCCCTGTACATTGATCCTGTTGCTTGCAGGTTGTTTTCAGCGACTGTATCTCAAGTGTGACAGGGCACAAGCCTTTGTCACTTTTCCACTGCTTCAGACATCCTACACAACCTAAAAGCTAAACTCCAGGCAGATGTCGAAACACCAATTAATGCAGCTATATGTTCATTAAAATCAATAAAAGCAACAAATGTACAATATATGTTCAGTAGAGGCTGTATCGTGAGGCTAGCCGAAAAGACAATCCTGTAGCAAGGAAAACACCAGTTCACATACTTTATATAAATTGAAAATGTCTGTTGGCTGCTTGCCTGGAGTTTACCTTTTAAAATGGCTTTTCTTGACAAAACCATAGAAAACCAAAATATATTAAACTCCTCTTTATGACCTCTTAAACTTAGTTACAGAAAACTGATCAGCCACAACATTATGATCACCTGCCTAATATTTAGAAGGTCCTTTTTTGCCACCAAAACATCCCTGACCCATAGAGGCATGGACTCCCCTAGGCCTCTGAAGAGATGTTGTGGTATCTGGCACCAAGCCGTTAGAAGCAGATCCTGTAAGTTGCGAGGTGGGGCTTCCTGTGCTCCTCACTTGCATCAGTGAACCTTAGCAGCCCATGACCCTGTTGCTGGTTCACCGGTTCTCCTACCTTGGACCACGTTTGGTAGGTCCTGACCCCCTGCAGACCGAGAACATCCCACAAGAGCTGCAGTTTTGAAGTTGCTCTGAGCCAGTCCAGTCATCACAATTTGGCCCTTGTCAATGTTGCTCAGATCCTTTATTCTGCTTCCAACACATCACCTTCAGGGACAAAATGTTCACTTGCTGCCTAATATATTCAACCCACTTTCAGGTCCCATTGTAACAAGATTATCAATGTTATTCACTTCATCTCTTAGTGGTTATAATGTTATGGCTGATCGGTGTAGCTGAAGAGCTAAAACTTCCAATGTGGCTAGTCAGCAGGATGTTCTGGGACTGACATTGTCCAGTTTATGAGTCACAGATTTCCCATGTCTACTGTAAGTCCCCTCTTGCACTAAAGGGGTTAAATAACTCTTCTGAAGGGCTATTGTAATGTCACGACGCACATCAACCTGTGCTGTGAAACATTTTTTTTATGTCATTCTTTCATTCTTCCGGTGATTGCCTTTGTGTGGGATGTGTCCTTGCTTTCCTTTCCTTGAATCCATTATTTCATCCATAGGACTTTGTACGTACAGCTCCAACCTAGTATGACATGGCTGTGAGGCAGGTCATTAGTCACTGTGGTCTGTATCTTTCTTTTCAGGATTCATTCATTCTTATCTAATGCTTTTATGATATTTTAATAAAAGTTCTTCTACTCAGAATACTAGTTTCATTGTTCCTGTGTTCTCCTGATATGTTTTTATCTTCTATAAAGGTCTTAAAAAATGTGTTTTTGCTGCACTTATTTAACAACTACTGTTGTGTGTGGTTTTCCGGCGCAGGAAAATCTTTGCTTATAGCCCACTCCAGTCTACCTTATGCACCACAATCCCCCTCCCCTACCTCCCTCTATTTAATTGCTCCTATAGAAAAAATATATATCTAAATGCCCCTTTTACTCATTTAAATCGACAGTCGCGCATCATTCCGGTCATCTCTCTTCCTTGTACAAGACTTGTGATCCTTCTTCAGGTGTATACATCACTGCCTATGTGATTTGGACACTTGCTATTGCCTGTGCAGTGGAAGAGTCCCCCATGGATCCAAAACAGGAGTTTCAGCAGTGATGTCAGA